GACACACACCAGCCTGTAAACAACACAACCACGGTGCTGACCAGGACACACACCAGCCTGTAAACAACACAAACACGGTGCTGACCAGGACACACACCAGCCTGTAAACAACACAAACACGGTACTAACCAGGACACACACCAGCCTGTAAACAACACAACCACGGTACTAACCAGGACACACACCAGCCTGTAAACAACACAACCACGGTGCTGACCAGGACACACACCAGCCTGTAAACAACACAAACACGGTGCTGACCAGGACACAGACCAGCCTGTAAACAACACAAACACGGTACTAACCAGGACACACACCAGCCTGTAAACAACACAACCACGGAGCTGACCAGGACACACACCAGCCTGTAAACAACACAACCACGGTACTAACCAGGACACACACCAGCCTGTAAACAACACAACCACGGAGCTGACCAGGACACACACCAGCCTGTAAACAACACAACCACGGAGCTGACCAGGACACACACCAGCCTGTAAACAACACAACCACGGTGCTGACCAGGACACACACCAGCCTGTAAACAACACAAACACGGTACTAACCAGGACACACACCAGCCTGTAAACAACACAACCACGGTGCTGACCAGGACACACACCAGCCTGTAAACAACACAAACACGGTGCTGACCAGGACACACACCAGCCTGTAAACAACACAAACACGGTGCTGACCAGGACAAACACCAGCCTGTAAACAACACAAACACGGAGCTGACCAGGACACACACCAGCCTGTAAACAACACAACCACGGTGCTGACCAGGACACACACCAGCCTGTAAACAACACAAACACGGTGCTGACCAGGACACACAACAGCCTGTAAACAACACAACCACGGTGCTGACCAGGACACACACCAGCCTGTAAACAACACAAACACGGTGCTGACCAGGACACACACCAGCCTGTAAACAACACAAACACGGTGCTGACCAGGACACACACCAGCCTGTAAACAACACAAACACGGTGCTGACCAGGACACACACCAGCCTGTAAACAACACAAATACGGAGCTGACCAGGACACACACCAGCCTGTAAACGCATCATGGCTCACAGTCCAGCAATAGTGTCCCACCCCCCGAGTCTTTAGCTCCCTGTGCTGTGTGAGTGGCACACTGTTGCACGGGAGTGGCACACTGTGACACGTGCGTTCACGAGTGTCTGTCTCGCCGTCTCAGTCAACCTCAAGACCAGAGCTGCTTCGCTCTCCGTCCAGTGTCACAGCGACTCCTCCTGGCAGGTACGAAGCACTGCGTTTACAGATCACTCCGGTTTTCCTTCCGTTCAGAATGACAAATTTTAAAAAAATGAATTTGTTGTCTATCAATGGTCTCAATGCTCTCTCTAGAGGTCCCTCTAGTGGGCGCCCTTCCGCCTTTCAATGGCGTGAAGTGAGCTATTGCAGGGCTCCGCCTTTATCACATCTCAAGGCCGTAATTATAATATATATTGGGGGGGACATATCCCCGCCCAATATTCAAATATGCTCAAAATGTCCCCCCCAATATATTGATATAAAATAGATTCATGTTTATATGATTGTGGTTATGGTTGTACTTTATTCATCCCTAATCTCTGCCATTACAATGAAACAAGAAAAGGTAAAAAAACAGAGCAATGTAATATAATACACTATTAGACATTATTGTAAAAAATAAATAAAAAGTCCATCCTTTCTGCTAGTGAATTTTTTTGTATATTTTAGGCAGGAAATTAGTTTTCAAATTTAGTTTTTTTTTTTCTGGGGGAGGGGGGGGGGGGGACACCTCCAGGACCCCCCCAGGACCCCCTGAAAGATTTGGTCCTCCCCAATGTTGACTCCATGACTACGGCCGTGTCACATCCTATCAACAGGCTCATCTGTTTAAGGGAAGGCACGAATGAAACGAGAACGGGAAAACATCCTCAGTTTGGACACATCACGAATGACGGTAGGCATTCACCAATTGGCTGAGAAAAATGTGCTTACAATGCACACCAGCTATAACTGCAGGGGCAGATGGAATATGACCGTCTTATCGTGTCGCTTGCAAATGCCTTGTCGAGTGGCTGCCTATGGTACAAGCACGTTTAAATCCAGAAGCCGTCAGATTTGTGAGCGTGTTGGGGGACGTGCAGTTGTCCCTTCTTCCGTACGGATCGCTTTGATGTTGTTCGTGTTCTGTGCTAATTGCACCACGGATCTCCCTTGCAAAGCTAGCTGGGTAACTGACAACAAGAAGGAAATGGCCAAACATCCCAAGTCGGACAGATCGATACCCACCGTTTTGAGAGGTCAGACTCGGCGAGGCATTTACTGGGATATGTTCGGCTGCGACGAATAAAATATAAAGTTCGTCAATTATTCTGAAGATTTGTGCAGACTCATAATGTCTATCTTCCAGATTGGGCACATATATGAGGTAGTTTCAAGGATTTGGTTGCTGTAAATTTCCACATGATATGCCACTGATATTTTTACGAGGGAAAGGCGTGGATGATTACATTACTTCTCATCAGCAGATGGCAGTAAAAGCAAATCCAACCTCGGAGCAGCGATGGTAAAAAAATATATATGTATGAGCAGACATAATACACCTTCACACATCTGTCCAATTATATATTATCATAATAATAATAATAAAAAAATAACCCGCTCATGAGCCTTCTGGGAGTGCATCATTTCAGCAAGCATTAGTGCAACACAAATTACAAACCCTCTAGAGTGGTTTCGGCGTTTCAGTATCTGTTCAGCAGAGAACAGGCTTCGAGTCAACCAATGCTGGTGAACTGCCAGATGTTCATGGGTAAGGGCCGTCTCTGTTTGATCGGGCTCCGGGGAGGGAGGAACGAATATGCCGTGGAACCTTGTCCCTGCTGATGTACCTCAAGAGTCACAATTCGTAGTGGACAGACATATCGATAAGAATAGGACGACTTAAAGTCACGTAGGTATTAAATAAAATAAATCACGACGTTTCGGGCGCAACACAAGCGCCCGAAATGTCGCGATTTATTTTATTTTATACCTACGTGAATTTACCGAAAGAACTAAAGAGTATGGATTCCTGCAGTAACAAAAGCTTCAAATGAAGAGGGCACTTAAAGTTATTCGGCCTAAATGTATGTATTTATGTATGTTGAACTTCTTTCTCACCGCACGTAGCCAACCGTGCTAATCGGACGCGCCGACCGTGGAGAATTCTCACGGATTTCCACGCAAATGCATGCAAAATTACCGTAATCAAGTTTAGACAAACATACTGATTAAAACAATTAGATTAGAACGTTTTTTTTAACTACATTATTGCTATTATCATTATGTTTGTTTATCCATGAACGCCTGAGTCTGAAGACTGTTTTTTATCAGGAGGGTCATACCAGGTTTTCGAAGTTCGAGGACAAATGAGTAATTTTGCAGGGGTTTGCATGGAGATATATTTTCTTCTGCACAAATGGCATAATTTCGTGTACCCGGTGATTGGCATCGGCTTGAATGTTTTTTTTGTTTGTTTGGTAACTTGCTATTCATAAGCGTTGCTCCATTTCACGTGCCGGCAGATGATCAAATAATTCCAATTGTCGGTGAGAAAATGTACAGATGAGAAGAAAATAGCAGCAATGTGACTTTAAATTCCGTTACATTGGAGAAAACCACCTTCCTGCCAACCACCCAAGCTAGGCTCCAAAAATCCCACAATTACCAGACTTTATTTTGAACACAGGCATCGCGCGCCGACATTATGTTCCACGGGGCCAGCATTTTGCCACCACCGTGCAGACTCGCGCATTGGCAACATTTTGCTGGGCTGTTCAAATAAGCTCCGTCCAGTAAGTTGGTGGAAATTGGCATCGCGTGCACCGTCATTCTGTGGGATACCGTGAAGTTGGCATGTGGTGACCGAAAGGTGTGCCATTATTTCTAGCAGTGGCGCAGAGGTCGTTGCATAGGTGACCTACTGGGAGAGGGTGCCGTGGCTTTTGTGACATATGTGTAGCTTGGCAAGTGGCACTAAAGCCAGCATGCCTTGGAAAACAGGCCTTTTTTCGACAGTGTTCTGTGGGCTGAATAATTGACTGAACCTTCCCATCAAATACAAGATGCCCTGTATAGTCTTGAACTTCTGTCGCACCGCACATAGCCAACCATGCTAATCGGAGGCGCGGGGGAAGGACACCAAATGAAACAGAGAAAGCAGTGAAAAAAAGAGTTTTTAATCTAGATTTTAAAAATTCTTAACAGACTGTTGGGACAAGTGAATCGATTGGCGGTAGCCCGGGCCACCGCAAAATATTGGTGGGCCGGGCATAGTTTAAGGTTTCTTTTTCTGGGAGCATCGCTGGTACCACCACCCTGTCCTGCCGGAGGGCGACGCTGGGAGCGATGATGATCAGGACGACGATGTCGATCCCGCCAGCACGACCATGACCGCCGGCCGTACCAAGAGAGCGCCTGGTGTGCCATTGCCTCCAAGTGTTCTCGCTCCCAAAGACAAGGGGGGTGGCCGACCCCGTAAGAAGCAGAACGTGCTGGGGAATGACCAGACCAGCATCCCGATGTACTTTCAAAACAAGCGATAAACAGCCGTTGCCACGCACAAATCCCCAGCAACCCCCCTTTTTTATGGGTGTTTTGCGTGTGTTTTTTATTTCCATATTTGGCGTGCGTATCGGGCTCAGTGACATCTCCCGTCTTCATAGGCCTTCTGGTTTCGAAGTTATGGAGGTTTTGGCACCCCCGGGTCACGATGGTGACCCGGGTCACCGCCAATCGATTCAAGTGCTGTTAGCTGGCATTGGTGAAGGCCGGAACGGTACGCAAGGGGGTGGGTGGCAAGCACCACGCCCTGCCGCCTTTGTCTCCCCAGTGTTGATGATCACACACCGCACCACGTACTCATTTGAGACTAAGTCGACCTAGGGGAGGTCCAGGACCAGTTTAGATAATCGTCACTTGTGTTAGCTGTGAGCGGGAATTGAACTGCGTCGCTAGCAGAGAACGCTAACCACTACACTACCACTCCACCTTCCCATCACCAGCCTATTCAGCAGCATCAAACTGGGGAAGACACTAAAGTCTGAAATCTGTTTAGCGAGTGGCATCAGGTTATGATTTTTTACCCAAAGTATTTCTCATAAATTCTGAGAATTTACTAAAAATGCTAACAAGATGCAAAAAGACCAGGAACGTAATGATTGTTGGTGAATATGTGTATCTATTCGTTATTTACGTAGTGTACGCATATACATGGGAATTGACTGCGAACTAACATACGTCTTATTTTCCGAGCTGTACGGATAACCAATTGTATGAAAGTTAAGAATATTAACAGCCATACTGGTGGGGTCTATCTTTTTACACAAAATAGCGTTTTTGCAATTTTACTAATGTGAGGAGAAATTACAAAAGGCCTTGTTTGACGATTTTTTTTATTAAGCCCTTGGGCAACGTACAGTGCAGTATATATATAGCCACTAACTGCTCGTCAGCGCATCGTCGCCTTAAAGCTTGGAGAGCTGAATGGAGTTCGAAAGAACTCACAAAGACACACCATGTTAAAGACCCAACGTAAAATATTCCTGGGGTTGGAACTTTCACGAAGCTCACGGTCCACCCCAAACCGCATCCACTGCACAACCAATGGCGGCAGCAGCAATAGCAGATAGTGGATGATGCACAAATGTTAAAATTAGAAACTCTCCAGCGGTGTGCGACTGCGGTCATCCAGAACAGAGACCGCTCAACGTGTAATGTGCCCCGATCCACAAAACAACGAAGGATACATCACAGCGACGATGATGATGACGACGACGATGACGACGATGATAACAATGGTGACGATGACGACGATGATGACCATGATGACGATACTTCTCCGCTTGCTCCTGATGCGGTTGTCTGGCTTGACCACCTGAATGTGACTTTGCAGTTTGTCGCTCTGCATCTACACCAGCAGCCATACGGAAGAAGAAGAAGTTAATCGCCCCTCTGTGTTTAGTGGAATGAGCCGCACCGAATTGGTTGAAATATAGAAAGATGGGCCCCAGCCACAGGATAGTGGAGTTTCCACCACTGACTCAGGGCTCACCATCAGACGGAAGCTCCACACAGAGGTTCGTTTTTGAAAACTGGGACTACCTATTTTTTGGCGAAAGTTTAAGTTATCGTCCCTTCACGGCCACCCTTCGAAACGTAATTTTTTTTTCAGAGGAGTCTGCTTGAACAGAATTTCACGACGACGTTGGCAATGACTGTTTGATGCATCGGACAGAGTTGTGGGGGTTCTTGTGAGAGTGGTATAGATATCCCCCCCCCTCCCCCCGACGAGGGAGGTCAGGTTTAACAGGATACCGACTCAGCTGAAATGACAGCACGACCCATTCTTGTGGAGGAGGAGGGGGGGGTGATGTACTTTGCCATTGTTCTCCCGCTTCAGTGCCCTAAGCATTGCCATTGTGTGCGTTTGTGTGGCGATATTTTTTCCGTTGCCGTTCATACGCGACGCCAAATGAATGCACGAGACGCGCTGCCACTGGGCGCGATCTTTCCGCCCTGCCAACGCTGCGTCCCATATCGCCTCGTCCGGTGCGGCCCCAAAGTCGTCTCCCGCGCAAGGGCGTTCCACGTGGGGGGCTCTGCCGTGCGGATTTTTTTCCCCTCCTCCTCCTACTCCTCCTCCCCGGGAGGTTATCGAGACGCGAGGACACGCGCGCCGTTGCATGCGGCGCAGAGGAAAATGCACGACGGGCTGGCAGGTTTCTGGAATTTAAATGCGCGAGGGCCTCGTTGAGTAGCTGCGGGCGTTACAATTCAGAGCACTCACGGCGTCGGCTGACGTCTCAATGTGACCCGTTCATTTTGTTACGAAATTATCTCAATTGTACATCTCGATGTGACATTATAGCTTGCTCCTCCATTTGGGCTGATGCACCCTCCGCAAGTCTCTACAAAACCTCCACCCCCCCCCTCCCCCCACACGGTGGAAATTAAAATCTGATCGATTTCGATAATGCGTTAAGTTACGCGGCACGCGGCCCCGCAATGTCAAAGCCCTCGCATTTTTTCATTCGCCGCTTTGTTTCGGCCAGCCGACCTTGGTGTTTTTAACGTTCACATTTAATTCCACGACTCTCTGTGTGTGTGTATCGCACATGCCGTTGGGGGGTTAGGTGGGATGGCGCCGATGTTCACCGCCGCGGTGAATACAAAGGGAACCCCCCCCCCCCCAACACAGTCGCTCTTCGGAGAGACAACTGCCCGCGAATAAATGCAGCAGTTTATTTATTCATAGAAGACGCGCTGAATAATTCAGCGCCACTTTTATAACAATCACTGCTGACCATGTCGGCGGGACGCCGGAGGCTCGACGGCGAATTGGAAGTGATCCGACACACGCGACGCTTCCTGCCCGTGCCCAATCACTCATCTGAAAGCTATCTTTAATCGTAAAATGCGCCTGCATTGTGCCGTGAAAGCGCGAAGCATCTCCGATTATATTCTTTGCTTTGCCGACGTACGCTATTATTTTTGTTGCGTGTATTGAGCGACGGTATATGTTTAATGCGGCATTTTAGCAAAAAAAAAACAGTCGTAGGGGTGAAGGGGCGATTTACATCCCTGCGGGGTGTTCTCTGTGCACGCGAAATATTCACTGCAATCACTTAATTTGTAAGCTTCTGTCAACGCCGGCATTTCACTCAACAACATCTGGCATGCTGGTATGTGGAATGATTGTCTTCTCTTGTTTGAACTTCCTTACCATTTGTTGTGTCAGCCCTTTGTCAATACACCGGAAATCGTGGTCCTTCCACGCCGTGTCGGCCATGGGGACGCAATTTAACCATACTTCACCACGTTCACCGGTCAGTGCGGGCTGGTGAAGGTGGTGGAGGCCAGGTCTGGTTCAAATATCACCTGCCAATGATGATATAGCCATCGTCGGGAGTCGAACACGGGTCAAGGGGTTTCGAAGCGCAATGCGCTGACCACAGTGACACCGCTCCACCGTCTCATCCTGCTACAATTTTCGTCCACTTTTCCAGCCAACCAGTTTGGCCATTGTGAAACCCAGGTGGAACTGTATGTTGGATAGATGTATGGTGAACTTCTTTCGCACCGTACGTAGCCAACCGTGCTCATCGGAGGCGCGGGGGGAAGGGCAACAAACTAAACACGAAAAATCAGTTCTTAAAAACAAATTAAATCGAGATGATTTAAAAGTGCATAGCTCCAGTGGCTTCCTAATATCGGAAGTAAGAGCGTTCCAGGCGGTCGAAGATTCGCACCTGAACGCGCCATGCTGTGACCTTGTTTGTTCGATGACCAGCCAAAAGCCGCTGCTGCTGCGAGGATGACCGTGAGAGTTTGCGTGATGATGGTTCATGCTTCTTGACGAGATCACCAAGGTATTTGTGGTTCATTTGTGGCAAGCACTTGGTGTGTGCAAATGAGTGCGACCTCAGAATGTTCGTTTCGGCAACCGGAAGATATGTCACTCATCGTTCACAGTCATAACTACCAACTGTTTCTCACTACTCTCGAAATATAGATGGTCTGTGTGTGTGAGAGACAATGCCACCACGTGTTCGTGGCCTTTGATTTCGTGAGTCCCTGTGCGCTGCTCTCTGCACATGTTGTCCCCTGCCGGAGTGTCCTCGCTGGAAGGACCACACAGCCTCTGCCTGCTCGAGGAGCCCCGCTGACGACGGGCTTGATGGTGCTTAAGCAACGCCTGCTTAGAAAGTTCCCGGCGACCTTTTCACATTTCGGTTATTCCCCGCCGGCGTGCCGCCGTCAACTTTTTTTTTGTTATGAATAATTGGCAGTGAAGTCGTGCCCAAGCGTTGTGCCGCCGCGAACACGATGGGCGCATAGGTATCGCATCGCATGACAACTGCCCAGGATCACTGCATACAAACTCACGGACTGACGCCAGCGTGGGGAGCAGTCACCAAGCGCGTGTGCCCTGCCTGCCTGCACGCACGCACACGCACAGACACACACAGACATGCGGTGTGCATGCTTGTTTATTACTTGCGCGTTGTATTCATTATCTGCGTGCATCCAACACGTCCGCGAAGCGATTGCGACGAGCCTCCTCCGCTCGAGCCGATGGGACGTCCCACGATCGCTAGACACCACGGCGAGCGAGACGAGAGAGCGCGAGAGAGAGGGAGGCCATCGCAGCCGACGGCGTGGGAAGGCGCCATGGCCTCATCATCGCTTCCTTCCTGCTGGTCTCACCTTGCAGCTGCTGCATAATTGACACTCGTCCTTCCACAAGGCCTGCTCTGATGTCGTCCCACCATCTGGCTTTATTCGGTTCTTCTCCTTGGTCACCAACCTCTGGGTGTCACTCGAATGCCCGCTTTGGTAGCACGCCCTCCCCCTCCATCCTGCACGTGCCTCACTCAATGTTTCCGCCACCTTATCTTACTAATTATATCTGCAATTCTCTCGTAGCATTGTCTATTGCAACTTTCCAATTTGGCTATTCCAGGGTTTCCGAAATTCCAGTCTTCGCGTGCCCCACACCCCCATCACCACCACCACCACGCAACGACGTGAATCCGCGTTTACCAATTAACTCCTCCCCATTGAAATACAAATTAACTCGTTCAACGCTGCACGCGCCCGCTGATCGTTAAACACGTCCCACGTGGCGCGCTAAGAAATTAACGCTTCCTGCGTTACGGTCTCACAATCCCCTGTATGATGCACTATTGCACCCAATAATAACCTTTCTTTATAGAGCGCCTTTCATACCACAATGTTCAATGCCACTTCACGCGAGTAAAGTGAAACCCAACATTAAAAAAAGCATATTAAACACTCGTAATAAAAATACACAAAGAGAAGGAAGAATTAATAATACGGTAAAATAATCATGGCATGCCAGAATAAAATCATACAAATAGGCCTTGAGCCTTCATTTAAAGACAGTCACTGTGGGCATAGAAGCTCTGAGCGCAATCGTGCACAGAGGTCCACATTCGCGAGGCATGAAGAAAAAATAAAACCACACCGAAACTTCAACTACTCTCTACGGACACCTTCAGAATCTTTATTTAGACGGGAAAAATCCGAGAAGATATGGAGCCCTTGGTTCACACATGTCCTGTAGGACTCCCGTGCCAAGCACTCACAACGTTCTGTAACACCCGCACCCACTGCCTCCAAGTAAACATTTTGTAAATTATTTTTTCTGGCTCACGATGTAAAGCCGTCAGAGCCTGCAAAGTCCCTGGAATCACAATGGGTAATTTGTTCCCGAGAGACCTAGATAATATGCACGTGCAAATTCAATAAACACATTGTAAATGCAATGCAGCATGTTTGGTTATTTTTTTATTGTTTTCATATTTTTACTTTTACGTGTGAATGACCGCTCATGCCAGCAAGGGTGAGTCAAAAATTTTTTTATTCACTTGAAAACGTTTAATCCTATTCACTTGAAAACGTGTAATCCGAAAGGGAACGAGTGGGAATAAAGGTAACGTAAAAAATAAAATAATCAAACGGTTTGTGGATTCTAAACGCAGTAATTTGACTACATTTACATTCCTATGAGACTAATGATAGTGTAACAGTGATAATTTAAAATCTTTTTGTCAATCCACTGCTGGACGAAGGCCTCCCTGTGCCGCGTCGATCACTTCGCCCTGCCTATTCGAGCGGTTTGGTGAAAGACAACAACACAATCCCGCCGCAAACATCACTCGCCACTGACGTTAGCCGTGCCCGAGGAATCAAACTCAGGTTTGCCGTCCAGATGCATCGAAGGCTGCGCTAAGCACTGTTACAAAATTCATGGGATTGAAGCCTGTACCTGGCCAGAGACCAACATGCCCGATGTCCCCATCTCCTGTGCCACCACTTGACAGGCAAGGCTAAAATCTCCGCCCCCCCTGCACCACACCTCCCTCCACCTCCCCGTCCACATCAACAGCCCAGCCATCGTGACCCGACCCTAATGATGGGCCTGGGCGTGTCCAGGGTGACAGTAGAAATGTTCCTCCTCGGGCCCTTCGGATGTTTCTGAAGCCTCTGTGAATGTAGACGATGGTTGTTGGTCCGTCCTGCTGATACATTGGTAGAATGAAACGTCGGCAGGCTTTCGTGACTAATGTCGTCCATTAGAAGTTTTTTTTTGGGGTCAGATCGAGTAAATATATAAATGAATCATTTGGCTGGACCCCGGGGTCCCGCAAAAATTAGGTCAATAATTATTATTTTTCAGTCCGCCCACTCGTGATCCCGACAGCAACGCGCCGCCCGCCCAGACTCGCCCCAACAAGCGCCAACAGGCGGCGATCAACACGATGGGCGCCACCCCACCGGCCAAACGCGAGCCCCGGGGGGCGTCCGCCGCAGTCGCGCTCGGCGACGACGCCCTCCGGTCAGCCGTCGATCCTCAGCTTCTTTGCCAAGGGAGGCCCCACCGCCCCCCAGGCAGTGAATTTAACGTGTTGATGTAATTTTTCAACTTTTTACGAAACTTAGTGTCCCCCAGTAGCTCTCGACGAGGCCAATCGATTGACGCTAGTTTTGTTGTCGGTAGGGCAAGACTCGTGTCGCTACGCGGTTTTTCCCACCCCGTGGCAGTGATGGAACCCCGGGGTCCCGCCAATTGCTTCACATGTTGTGTCGTTAAAACCCGCCACCACCCGACACAGCCAACTAGTAAGGATTGTCACGTAAACAGAACATGATGAAGCTAGTTGTAATTACTGGCGAAACGTCGTACTCAGATTATAAATGTTGTGGCTTGGCTCTCCAACACACCGGTGTGCTGTACAAGTAACTAATTGTCACGTTGTTTACGTGACAACCCTTACTAGTTGGCTGTGTCTGGCGGTGGCGGGTTTTAACGACGCTACATTTATATATACGCGATCTAACCCAAGAAAACCTCTATTATGAAATAAAGAGCTGGTGGCCGATACTGTTGCCATACGTCCCATTTACAAAGGAACATGTTTCATGGCGTCCGTTCAGTTTTAATTTCATAACAGCCTATTTGAAATACAATGAAAATCCTAAATTTGCATAATTGGCCAATTGCAATACAAATCGTTAATGAATCCCTCTTCAGCGTAGTTGTAATGAGGTGCCGCTGTGATGTATTGTATTGTAGCGGAACGCGTTCATTCACTCACTCGTTGTAGTCAACAACCCATTTGAAGTCTGAAAGTCGTGTTCGGCTGACATTTCTCTTTATGCATTCGTATTGAGGTGGAGTGGTGGCGGAATGGTTGGGGCACTGCATTATGAACCCTGCGTGTACGGATAGAATGAGCGGCAAGTGTAGACCTGAGCTGGACCGAGACACCCACTGTTTACCAACCTGCTGTAATCAGTGCGGTGAAGTGTGATCACCCCCCCCCCCCCCCCCCACAAGGACTGACAAGCCATTGAGAGGCCTTCATCCAGCAGATGATTGGAATAAAGTTGTAGAGGATGGTTCAGATGTCTTGTGACCCCCCCCCCCCCCCCCAATTAATTGACCCATAACATCATTTTTGTTCCTTTGCATATTAATTTCTGCTTTCAATGAACCTTACTTTAAAACAATATTATGTTTTAGATAATGAAATGCGGGCCACAAGATATCTGGACCACCCTGTATATTGTGACACATTTTACATAAGAATAGGCATAATAATTGTACTTTTTAAAAATAAGAATAGTGAGATCATTGTTTTCCCTCCCATTGTGTTGGCTACAAAAGACCTTTGTTTTAAATTCACGTTATAATTGTCCTCATTGTGTCTTCATTATGGCCTAGGACCTTGATCCATACAAGGACTGTGGGTTGGCTTCATTCAGATGTCGACTGCTGTTTTCACTGCCACAACCACGTGACAATTTGTAAAGGACATTTGGAGAGTGCACAATAGATAGTATTCTTATTGGCCTAACGCCTGCGCGCGCACATGCTCCTATTGTGTACTCGCTTTTACTATTCTTTCACCACGCAGTGTCCTTTAACTACCTTCCATTCCGCTGCTGTAAATTAAATTCTAGAACATATATATATTTACTACTATAATGAGACAATAATGTCTGTGTCCCGCGCGTAACGTCAATCCACGTCGACCAGCCCCCCTCATTAATAATCATGAACAGGTGACGTCCTCCAAATGGACACCCCCCCTCCATTAATAATAATTAGCAGCTGAGGTCACTCCACAATGGGGGGCGAGGCGCCTCCTCCCCCCTCCTCGGCGTCAACTCACAACCCTCACTGCAAAGGCAGAACCCTCACGTCACGCGATCTCCGTGACGCTGTTGAGACATCGAAGTAAAAAGGACGTCATGATGAACAAGGGATTATAACCTTAAAATGAAGTAAGTCTGTGTCACCGCGGCCTTACATATTGCACGCGAATTGATGCAATGAATATCTCGTCACGGGCTGCTTTTCACTTGAAAGTTTCAGATTTACTGCAATACACCCGTCCTTGGACGGGAAACACATTCCTGCGGAGGGAGCTGGTAGGAACGTTGGGTTGCTCGGTCAATGGCCAGGGTCAACGGCGGCGTGGTGTATTCGGCAAATATGCCCGACTGTGAGGGCGGGCACAAGCTGGCGTGAGTAGGTTAAACGTTGAGTTTTATAAGGGCACCACGGGGTGACCAGCCCCTCCCCACCCAGCCACACCCCTCCCACCCCCAACCCAGCCCAATCCTCCCCACCCAGCCCCTCCCCACCCAGCCCCACTCCTCACCCAGCCCCTCCCTCCCCACCCTCCCCTCCCCACCCAGCCCCACCCCTCCCATTTTTGGATGCACTACGGACGGACGGACACAATAATCCCCTGTGGGCTGGTGTAACCAGGAGGTTCCTACCAGTAAAAGGAGAGTTTATATAACGACGCAGTCTGGATTTGATTAGTTGTTTTCTATTCATTTGTTAGCTCAGGCAACAGCACAACAGAACAATCTGCGCAGTGGCGTAGACACCGATGATGTCATAACTGTATTTTGTCTCTCTGTCAAATTTAGCAATCGTTGGAAGAACGTAATCAACCAGGTAGGGTGTTGACTGTTGTGTTAGCCGACTCTCAGTGTTGTATTGCATTGCATTTCTAAGTTTGTTTTCTCATTCATTCTTACCTGATGACGGTTGCTTGTGTTGCAATCGAAACGTCGCACTCTATTATTTAATTTATTTTCTTTCCACGTGACTTTACCGAAAGAACCAAAGAGTTATTCCTGCAGTCGCGAAAGCTTCAAATCGAGTTTGGTTCAGTATAATGGCATGGAATTTTGGAGTAATCGAAAACCAGGTGAATGGTCATGACAAATGTGTAGTTTTTTTCGCCCCCATTCAGCCGTAGGTGACAACTGGATATGAAAGGTGTGGCGGAGTTAATGGCGCACGGCCCCTAATCGCAAGACAAATGAAACGCCCGATTTGGGTTCTGGCAGCGCATTTGTCTCACTAATATCAATCCCTTTATGAAACATGCACCGATGGTGGCTAATTAAAACCCGAGTGTGTGTCGCTGTTAATGGGCTAAGCCCGCACGTCGCCGGTAATGAGAATACTGCCACTTTCGTCCCGTGGCATTCATCACGGCTTGCACGTGTGGGGGGGGGGGGGGGTCTACGTGGAGCCGCTCTTGAGAGTGGCGGGGTCTTCCTCCTGGCCCTGCACCCATGCATGGCACGCTCAACACGCCGCTTTGACGAACGTTTGGCTAAAGGGGGGGTTTTTTTTGTGGGTTTTTTTTTATTTGCAGAATTTTTAAGCAAACGGAATTTCACAAAATTACTTTTGACTGTTTATGTGCTCGGCAAACGCACATTGCATCCGTCGGTCGAGTGGGCGAGGTGAGACGGAGATGTATGTCCTCTCCAAAGAGAC